GAAACCAGAAGTGATGTGAAAGGAGAGGGAAGCAGGCGCCGTCTGCAGCTGCACAAACTGCCCTGAGAGCTGGAGGGATGGGAAGCCCCCAAGCATCCCCAGCCCGCGAGGCGAGCGCGAGGAGGTGAGTGGCTTGCGTTTGCTAACCCGTGGGGAGATCCTGCAGCCAAGGATCCTTTTTCTCGCAGTAAAACACATCGTACCTTTGAGCCCACGGTGCTGACACGCACGCACGCAGGCTGGGGAGACTCGGCTGCGCAGGGTTTGTCACGGGGAGATTCCCGGTGTTATTCAGGATAAACTGCAATGCAATGTGTAACAAAGGGTGGGAAAACTGGTTTTTAGGATGAATGCTTTCTTAACAGGAACACGAAAGGTAAGTGTTTATATAGCAGACTGCGGACTAACTCTTTACAGCTGGCTTTAGGGAATATTAACGTTGGATATGTCAGAGGTATTTCCAAATGTCTTGCAAGCATGGGTATGATACTGAGCTCTGCACGAGTTAGTGCTTGTTATGCCTCCGCATGGGGTGGTTTTGCTGGAGTGCGAGCAGCTCTGTTTTGCCATGCTTTGTCCCCAAACTGGCAGCCGCAGTGCCGCTCTGCAGCCCCGCACCCCTGTGCTTCCAATGCCGTCACCCCGAGCAGCCACACATGGAGAGAACTGGACTCTGAAAAGAAATAAAGCATATAATTGTCAGTGTGGCCTTTGTGCCAGGCCGTTCTTACCCCAGGGAGGTAACTCCGCTCGGCTTTATTTAATATGGTCGGAGGGACAAACCAGGATGAACAGCGATTTCCAAAATAATGGCAAAACTTCTGCACCTAAACCAAGAAACCGTATACAAACTAAAATATTTGTAAAGCAAAAGATCTTTTGCTTTTTCAGCAAGTGAAATGTCCAAGCGTTAATGACAATTTTTGCATAAATTGCTTCGTATTAGGTGATCACTTAAGACATTTTATTTTATTGTAAAGATCGAATCTCTCAGAAATTCTGGCGATGAAATATTCAAGGCCAGCGCTTTCAGAGCGCCGCAGGCACATTGCACTGGCTGATTGCAGCAGGAAAATTTAATTTTACATTATCTAAGCAACCGGTATGTTAACTTATGAATCACAAGGATTCTGAGATGTCTCTGTACATGGAGAAACCATCCCAAGTGATATCAGAAACTGTGCTGCTGCGTGCGAAGCAGTGTAAGCCTGACAGCTGAAATCAATCGCAGCAATGCACTGAAATGGAAAAGGACTTTTGCACTTGTAGATTTAATTTTCACTGAAGCCAGCGGAGTTATTAGGCTGGAGTGAGTGGGCACACAAGCAGATCTGACGGGGGGAAGGCTTCTCTGCTGCTTCTGGGCAGACTTTGCAGTCAGTGAGGCTGTATCAGAAATATATTGTATTCCCAAATGTCTTATCTGCATTTTGTTCCTAATCACTGGGCTCCTTGTTCATTCAGTGAGTTGCCTCCATTTGCTGCCTCCTGGGGCTCTGCTGTTGTTATTGGCTCTATCTGGGGGGTTCTCCATTGCAAGAGACGGGGTTTCCATTGCTTTATTTTGGCAGAATATTCCCCGTCCTGGGAGATCCTGCTGGCAGGAGACGCTTTGCTGTGCTGGGAGGAGAATTAAGCCTGTGCAGCAGCCTAGGAAATCCCTGCTCAGCTCCTGTGGCTTCCAGGGCCCCAGTCCCTCTGTGCCGCAGCCTCCTGGCTCTAAAGGAGGGCGAGAAGCCCCTTCACTCTTGCTGCGCTGAAACGTCAGCCCGGCGGGCAGGGACGCTGGGCTTGTTGGGCCGGTTGTGATGGGGATGCACAGCCGTGCCCGGGGCTGTAATTCCCAGGGAGGCAGAGATGCTGCTCCTCAGAAGGGGGTGTCCACCCTGGAAGGGGGACTTGCCCCACAGAGGATGCCGCAGATCAGCTCTCCCCTGGGATCCAGATACGGGCTGGCTTATTTCCCAGGAGCTGAAGCATGCGGGAGGCAGTGGGCATGAACAAACAAATGGTTGAACCCAGGAGCCCACCTGACAGAGAAAAATGTCCCCTGGGCAGGAAAAAGCAGCCTTATGGCCAAAATAAAAGGGACAGGCAGTGCAAGGAGAGGGGCTCTTGGTGCTGCCCGTGTTTTCACGGTCTGGAGCCTCTGCAGAAGAGATCTTGTGCTGGAGCAAAGCCCCGTGCTTTCCCTCACAGACACGGGAGCTGGAAGGAGGATTTGGGGGAACTCAGTCAAAACTGCAATGAGATTTGTCCTTATCATTCAGCCTGAGACACAACAGATGCGGGAAGAGAAGGAGGAAGATTGCTACAGGCCCAGCACAGTATTTTGAACGTGAGGGCTTATCTGAATTATGTCAGCTTAATGGAGAGAGCTGTACCAGAACAGTCAGTGCAGGAGTTATTTTGCCATTATAACCAAATTCTCTCCCCAAGCAATGTAGCGTGAGGGACAGCATTTTGCTGGCCTTCAGTCTCTTGCCTGGTGTTTGGTACGGTTTCAAAGCTCCTAAGCATGTTCGTTGGACGCTGCACAACTGCAGATACTGAGAATTTAAGATGGTCCTGGGAATGCTGGCTGCAATTAATAGATGTCAAAATGATGCTGGAGTCTGCTTAATTAAGAGATGTCTTGGTTTGGATGCTGGAGTTTCGGCTGGGGAGTTTTGGATACTCGAGGAGGCAGTTGCTGCCCCGGTGGCCCCTGGTGAGCCCTGAGATGTGTCAAAGTCCATCTGTCCGCTAAATCCATCTCTCTCTGGAGGGAGAGATGTTGTCAGGTTTAATAGCAGCAGTCAGTAATTACTGCTGCCCTTGTAGTGTTTCTGTGAAGAGCTGCAGGAAACAAGAGTGCTGAGATTAGAGTGCAACATCTCCGGTCCTGCGTGATTACCCCATGCCAGAGCCTGATGTAAGAGGAGAGAGGCTTGCTGCAACGCTGAGCCACATTTCAGCCCAAAGTCCAGGACTCCTCGGTCTGATATGCCAAGAAATGCAAATCAGGGTTGAACTGCTCTGGCTGTAATGTGCACCGAACGCCCTGCAACCGCTGATGTTCGAGCCCCAAAAGGCAGGCAGGAGCAAAGTGCTGGGGCTCAGGCTCTTCTCCAGGAGCTCCTGGGCAGCATCGCAAGTGCTCTGGGATATTTTGCAACTACTGCAAAACACAGAAACAGTGATGGGTGCCGGGGGACGGGGGGGATCAGCAGGGAAGGAAGTAACAAAGACAGGTATAAAACAGGCATCACTGCTAAGATGTTGTGGACAGAGGCGTCTAGCGTGTTGGCTATCGTCACCTCTAAAGACAGCTGTTGCCTTTGCTGAATTTCAAAAAACAGAGAAACTGCAGATGGTTGGCTACAGGTGGCTGGAGCCCAGCAGCGCAGCAGCCCGGCCCCTGCGCCGCCTGGGCACTCGCCCCGCTCCCCGGGGGGCTGTAGTTATCACACATCGCATCTGCTGTGCCTTGCGTGTTTTGGACATTTCCTCTTTCAAAAGAGAGCTGAGGGCAGGGAGAGACGGTGGCTTGTTGGTTCTGAGGGAAAGGGAACGCTGTCAGCTCAGTGCTTTCCTCCAGCAGTGGGAACTCGTGGTCCCATTGCCTGGATGTGGGATCCTGGATACTCGAAGCCAGGTGGATGCTTTCAGGATGGGGGTTCCTGTCCCGTGGGCTTTTGCAGCAGGGCAGTACGACCTGCCAGTGCGTGGCACTCGGGACACAGCATCTCTGCTAATAAGACAGCTTTAGTGTATCCAACAACCGCCTCTTCATCTGCTCTCCGTAACCCGGTCCAGGATGACCTTGTTCCTCCTGTTACATTGGGCAACACAAGGCAGCTGAGCCCTCGATGAAAGTGAATTTGGTTTAAAGCACAAGTATAATCAAGAGTAAGAATGGGAGAAAAATAACATCTGAAGGACGAGCTCATCAGTGTAATGAAGATGAAGGGATGTGAGTGCATTAAGCTGCAGAAGTGTAGAGAAAAACACGACTTTGCTGCCACAGAGAGCACCGAGCAGCTCGACATCTGCCTAGGGCAAAATAAGGCATTTCCCTCCGTCACATCTCTGCTGAAGCTAAAAATATTGATAAAGTTAACCTAATCCTGAGCATGGACAGGGCTTCTTAGGTTCAGGTGGTCTAACTCCTGCATGTCCCCATTTTTATGTCCAACCCGCACTCTAATATTGATGTTAAACAATAACTTTTAATCACTCTGACCATGGGACAGACTGACTCATGACACAGGGATTGTGGGGGGAGAAATGCAACTTTAATGAGGCTGAGCTTTATAAAACTGCAATGGGCAAGCTTAAATATAAAACCAGTCTTGTCATTTCATGTGTTCAAACAGTTTTAGTGAAGAGTAAATGCTTCAAAGTGCACTTTGTGTTCCCAGATGAGCCGCACAGAGTCCCCGGCAGTGCAATATCCCTCATCCTTCTCCATCCCAGCCATCTCCCGGGGCAGCTTCACTCGGACAGGCTGTTCTCCAGGGCCTGTCTCCAGCACGGTGTCACCAGGAGCAGTCCCTTCCACTGCTGCTGGTCCTGAGCAGTGAATCCCAGAGGACTGGTAAGAGCTGGCCCAGGATTTGTACAATTCTCAGCGTTGCTGCTTCCCTCTTGTGGTGAGGAAACAGCCCGAGAGACAGAGGTGGTACGGATGTGGTACGGACGTGGTACGGACGCGGTACCTGTGGGCTGCAATAGATGGGTCTCAGCCAAATCACCGGTGGGACAAAGCCTGGATCTCTGCTGGGAAAGGGTGGAAGCTGGCTCCAGCATTTGGGCTGTGGACCTGATTGTAGGTCTCCCTGGGCTATTTTCCTTTTGCTTGCCTCCCTCTAAAGGGAGGGATGTGTCCCAGTGGGTTGAATTTATTGCTCATTGCACTCCTGTAAGTCCTCTTCACCTCGGTCTTTTTCAGAGCATCTGAAGAAGTGCAGAAGGAAGCAGAAAGGCTCTCTGCAAGCTCCTACCTCTGGTTAATTACAATGAATATTTGTAAGATACATGAAAACACCTCCAAATGCAGTGCGAACACTATGGAGTGCTTCATGGTCCTCAGCACGCAAGCGCAGAAGATAAGCATTGCCACGCTCTGCAGCCTCTTTGGGACACTGTGCATTTTCGAGAACTCTTTGGTGCTGTACTTGATCTTCTCCTCCCGCAGGACCAGGAGAAAGCCTTCCTACCTCTTTATCAGCAGCCTGGCCTTGGCTGACATTCTGGCCAGCATCATCTTCGTCTGCAGTTTTGTTAACTTCCATGTCTTTAATGAAACTGATTTCTCTAAAGAAATGTTCCTGCTGCAGCTGGGAGGGGTGAACACATCCTTCTCTGCCTCCCTGAGCAGTTTGCTGCTGACAGCCCTGGATCGTTACATCTCCATCAGCCGGCCCTCCGAATACAAGCTCCTAATGACGAGGAAGAGAGCATGGATAGCTCTGGGGGTGCTCTGGGTGACATGTGCCACCATTGCCTCCCTGCCCCTCCTGGGCTGGAACTGCTGCACGCTCAATTCGACCTGCTCCGAGCTGTTCCCGTTTGTGGATGACAACTATCTGTCGAGCTGGATCTGCTTCGTCATGGTGCTGCTGGGGTGTATCATCTACGCCTACACGCACGTGCTATGGAGGGCTCGCCAGCACGTGGCCTACATGGAGAAGCACCAAGGGCAGGTGGGAAAGCAAAACACCAGGATGAGGATGGACGTCATGCTGGCCAAGACCCTTGTCATGGTGCTGACTGTCCTCGTGCTGTGCTGGTCTCCGGTCCTCGTTCTCATGATCTACAGCATCTTTGCCAGGCTGAGCAATCACCTGCGCAAGGTGTTTGCCTTCTGCAGCACCCTCTGCCTGCTCAATTCCATGGTGAACCCCATTATTTATGCCCTGCGGAGCAAGGAGCTATATTCCTCCCTGAGGATGGTCTTTTCTCAGTTCAGGAGGCAGCTGAAGGCCTCTGAGGAAAGCCCAGAAGCAGACAGCACCCACAAGTCCTCCGTGATAGAGACCATCTGCGAGGACACGCGCATAACGTAGGGAGGTGGCCGTGGAAAGTCTGCGCTCGGGCTGGCAGAACCAGTCTGGGTCACTTTTCTTTTTCTTTTCTCTTCTTATGGAGGTCCTGGGAGATGAGGGATCAGATGCGTGTCATGGAGCCGGCTCCTGCTGACGTTATTCTTAGACGCTGGGACATAAAAGTGCACAGACTTACACAGGCAGCCAGTCCCCAAGCTGCAGAGATACCGGTGCCACGTCAGCGTGCCAGCTATGAGGCAGCGGATAACACCATGCCCCAGACCAGCAGATCCTAATATTTTATGACTAGTCCTTCCTGGCCTCCTGCCTGTCCACCAGTAACCTCCTGTCCCATTTTTCTTACATTCAGCGGTGTGTTCCTTACACACCATAAAATATAGCTAGCCGCAAGTAAAACACTCCGCAGACCTTCAGGTTCTCTAGAAATCCCCAGGTATCACATAACTCTCTCTAAACCCCTTCACCGGGCACAGGCAGAGTTGTACAAGCACTATCAGCAAAGTGCTAACAGCACATCGCTATGTAGCAGAGGTACATCTATTTATACCAGACTTGAATGCCGTCCCGGGGTGTTATGTATTAGCAGCATGGTGACAAAAGGTCTTTGGGTCCTCGCAAAGGTGGCAGAGAACAACACCAAGTTGTGACGAGCTCCCGCCGACAGCGAATGCCTCGCTGCATCGCGCGGGAGCAGGGCCGGCAGCAGCAGGAGGTACCTCGGCCCTTGCTGGGAAAGGTGCAGTTGGTTTCTCTGGACTCGCTTGCAGACAGCCCTGGCTAATCGTGTCTCAGAGCTCTTAGGATCACGTCGATTTTAGCATCTAATTCTTTATGGAAAACTGAAATGCTTTCACTGTGGCGTATGGAGTCTGCCATAGTTGAGGATTTTGAGCGGACAGGACCCTGCAGGGAGCATGTTTCTTTCAGCAAATTTAAGGAAAGCTAACCTGTGCCACACAGGCGTTTGTTGGATGTTATGTGATTAAACGTTAAAGCCATTTTTCAGCCTTTTCTTCCATTAACCTGTGGGGCACAAACTCCTCCAGGCAACAAGTTTAAGCCCCAGCTGGGGCAGATACTCTGAACATGAGAAACTTGACAGATTTTTTTGCAAGTTACATGAAAGCAGCGCCTTTAGCTGCAAAATCCGCAAGGAGAGCAAAGTGCCTTCGCCAGCGCCCCGGCGAGCAGCAGGGCTCCTGCCAGCTCCCAAAAAGCCTCCGAAGGGATGAGCCTGGCCTGGGGCACGGCCGCGAGGCCCTTGGACTCTGCCCTGTTTCCCCAGAGGATGCACCCAGCCCTCAGGTGCGGGTTTTGGAGCCGGGCCCTGGGCCTGCTCTGGCTGGGCAGGAGGCCTGGGGGAGAGGGGTCTCATGGAGGCTGAGCTGCCATGGGGCCAACCCACGGGCTCCCCGCTGGCTCCTCACGGGATGGACACAGAGGCTCAAACGGCTGGAAGAGGCCCGCAGGCAGCTGTGGTGGGGCAGAGCCGGGCTGGCAGGGAGGGGAAGAGGGGGGAAGGGGGGTGCCAGCCCCGCCGCCACGCGGAC